CGCCCTTCACCTCCGAAGACCACCTTCGCCCTCACCTCCCCTGCACCCTCATGCGGCCCGGCTATGGCCGCCGGTGCCCTGGTGCGCAGGCAGCGCCCTACCGCCTAGCGCTGGCCTGCCTCGCACCTCTCTTAGCGCAGCGCAGCAGCAGCAGCAGCTCGCATTAGYGCAGCGTGCCGGCATTGCCCGCAATGGCCAAGATCCCTGCCCACTCGCCCTGCTTGCCTATATGCCAGTGTTGCGTGTGGGCGGCCTCCCTTCAGCCTGTGACCGGGGCCCAGAGGCTGAAGCCAACTCRATACAGTTGGGCCCCGGGGCAATGCAGTTGCGCCTCCTTCATCAAGGCCTGCGGCCAGATTCAGACAGTGGGCCGATTTCCMTTTGGCATTTTCGGCCTCTCTACCCAGCATGCRTTGTCGGCCTCACGTTCGAGTGCCCAGGGCCTAACTAACTTAGAGGCCCTGGGCATTTCAGCATTTGCTGAAATCCGAGACTCGGTGCACTCCAACCAACTGGCGTGCTGCAACTGTATAGACCCCACTTCGTGAAATGTTGGCACATAGGGCTCTTGTTGATTTGCTGGCCCGCCTTCACTTAGGGCGGGCACTAGGCTTGCTGGGGCCTTAGCCTAGAACATGTACGTCATGGCAAGGCCCTTACTTGAGGGCTCAATCCTCACAAGTGTATCTAGCTTCTGATTAATATCTGCCCATTCGGGCAGCTTACCCAGACTCTCTTCCGCAACCCTCAACTCCTTCTCTGCCTTCTCTGCAGCTTGCAACCTTCTTGTCTTCTCCGTTGCAAGGCGCAGCTTCCACTCCAACATTTTCTCCTGTTCCATTGCCTTCTTCTGCAAGGGGCTTTCCACCGCATCCAGCTCCTTCTGAACCGCCTCCTTCTCCGCTTGGGGAACCAGCAATCTCGCCTTCTGTTCTTTCCCAATTTCCAGCTTGGCAGCCCATTCCTCAATCATCCTTCCGACTTCTTCCTTTTCTGCTGAGGCGCCACTAGATTCTCCTCTTTCTTTTGTGACCCCTCTTACCATTTTCTTCAACGGGGTCTCTGACACCTCCTCCTTCTCTTCCTCTTTTTGTTCTTCTTCTCTCTCGAGTGCTGCGATTTCTTCCTGTTGCTCTTTTAGCAGCCGCTTCACCTCCTCTTCTAATTCCTTTTTCTTCGTCGCCTGCTCCTTCAACAAAGCCAGTTTCTTGGCCGCCTTCTCCTTCCTCTTCGTTTGTTCCCTCAATATGGTGGCGGCTTGTACGGAGTGGTCTGTCGCCCCAATTTGGTAGTGACGGCCAGGCTAACTTTGCGACAGAAACCCAGAAGAGATGGTATAGAGTTCCTTACAAGGAGAACTCCGTTAGCAACATGAACATGGGATAGTTATCCATGGTGTGAGACACACAACTGACATACAGTCCCACTCCTCACCACGTAGACTTACCTAACGACTGACTCTACTCTACACTACTTCTAAGGCTGTCACTACAGGACTCTACTGCTGATCAGCAGCCATTTAAGGAGATCCCCGAAACTCCTTAGGAATTATTTAACGTCACAAACAGGACGATGTGATCAGCAGAGTCAATGCGCAGCCTACAGCTCGGAGTTCAGGCCTACCACGCCATAGTGAGCAACCTGCCGGTCTGTACCGGTCCTTGGGGGCCTTGTCCCCTGGTCGTCAGTCGTCCGACGTAGCAGTAGCCCTATTAAGTCCCGTGTAGGTTTCGTCACCACAGCTCTATGACCTTTACACAGAATCCTATCGCCTGGACAAAAGTGACTCAATGCAAAACGAAGAAACAAACAGACACTTGAGCAAGTACCAAGGTGGTGTCCACATCCACAGGGCAAGGGAATAGGTCAAGGCTTGGAGAGATTGTACCGCACTCCAGCTTGGTCAAAGGTCGTGGTCAACCGTCTTGGTCAATGTCGTTCCACCGGTCAATGCCGGTCAAAACCCTTGGTAGACCTTCTTGGTCAATGCTCAACCTCTTGGCTATGGCATCCGACCTCCTTCGTCAATCTCTCTTCTCTCCCCTTCGTCTCCTTCGTCGCCTGTCGTTGTCTATGGCTTCCTTCCCTTCCTCCTTTGTCTTTCCTTCCTCCTCCTTTCTCTCATTTTTTTCTTCGTTTTCTTCCTCAATTTCGAGCTCGGCGGCTATGGCCGCCACTTCACCTTCTCCACTTGCGCACCAAGCTCCCTATCTTCCTTCTCTCTCTCTCTCTCTCTCTCTCTCTCTCTCTCTCTCTCTCTCTCTCTCTCTCTCTCTCTCTCTCT